TTCAAATTTATTTAATTTTAAAGATAATTCTGCTACGCTACGAGGGGAGGTCAATAAGTTCGCGGAATGAACGGGAAGGGGGTTGAAATTTAACACGAAACTATTTTTCCTTTTCAATATAACCTCCCTCAACCTTAATACATTTTTCGGATCTCACAAATAATTTATTAATACTATCGAAAAAAATTATTTATCTTGGCTATCAAAATGGGCCGAAATTGCGGACTTGACTTCTCAAATTTTTTTCCACGCAGCTTTTTTTCATTTTTGAAAACAAATAATAGTCGCTGGGGACTAAGTCTAGACTGTATGGTGGGTGGTGTAATTTTTCGAATCCGCATCGGTGAATGGCAGCCGTCGCAACATGGCACGTGTGGACTGTTGCGTTGTCGTGCAAAAGGAGTACACCTTTTGTCAGCTTTCCTCTTCTTTTTTCCTTGATAGCTTCTTTCAATCTATCTAATAAAGAAGCGTAGTATTGTCCCGTTATAGTCACAACACGATCTTTATAATTGATCAGCAAAATACCTTCTGTATCCCAAAGGACAGTCGCCATGATCTTTCCGGCCGATTGTGACACTTTAAACTACTTGGGAGGAGCTGTGCCTTTTTTATGCCAATGTATCGATTCTCGCTTCGATTCAGGTTCATAGTGGTGAACCCAGGTTTCATCACCAGTAACAATCCGGTCCATAACTTCATCCTTATTCTCCCCACAGAGCTTCAAAAACTGGCGAGAACACTCGACACGCTCGCTCTTTTGAAGTGGCGTGAGCATTCTTGGAACCCATCTTGCACTGACCTTAGTCATCCCAAGATGATGATGTTGGATATTTAAAATGCTGGTTTCGGATACTCCAACCATTGCTGCAAGTTGTTTCTTCTTCAACCGGGCATCTTCCAATATAAGTTTTTCTACTTTTGCGACAATTTCCGGTGTGGTGGCCTCAATCGGTCGTCCGGGGCGGGGGTCATCTTCAATGGACTCTCTCCCTTGTTTAAAAAGTCCATGCCACTTGTAAATCATGGTTTTACCAGGGGCAGAGTCCGCGTAAACTGATAACAGCTCTTCAAAAATCGTCTGAGCGGATTTTCCTTGCTTGGTGAGGAACTTAATAACGGCGCGGTGTTCAATTTTCTCCATACTCACTGACTTCTTCCCGATTCACTCGTTTGCAGGTTAATAACTCAAAAGTTTATGACCCGATTTGGTTCAAACTTGGTATATATACTATTAATGAGGTGTTGAACAAGTTACTACCTGGACGAGTAAATCAACCCCCTCCATCCCCTCCATTCCGCGAACTTTTTGACCTCCCCTCGTAGTACTAGATAGTTGAATTGACTCTAATGTTGTTAAATAATTTTTAAATTTTGTAATCTGGCCTTTTATGGAACTACGTTTTAAGCTGAACTCCTTATATTTAATAATAGGTTCATCTGAATCAGTAGCCATGACTTCGAATATTAAAATTAAGTTAATTTACAATATTGAAAATTCGAAAAGTTATTAATTTATCTCACTTAGCTGCACTGGAGTAAATTAAATGCGTCGTCACTCTCCTCCTTTCGGTGATACTCCCAGCAAAGAAACCGGTGCTGCGTCGCTAATAGCTCGATGCACAAAACCAGCGTCCTGCCAGGCACCTGGAAATTTCGGCAGAAAGGATGACTAAAGGTGAAATAGTATGGTGCTATAAGAGTGCAGCTATTTGGTTATTTTGTTTAGCTATTTAGTGCAGCTATTACCATTATATTTGGTTATCAATCCGGCTACTAAAAACATATTATGTTATTTAGGATTCCAATAGTTCGAAAGTAGACTAATGTGGCCGGAGCTGTTAATTTATACAGAGCGTAAAAACAACAGCGGAAACCTATAGCTGAGACTTACATATACATATGTAGTTAAAGAATTTAAAGTAGATTGAAGGCAAAATAACTCAAAGTAATAAAATAGTCTATTAATTTAAAGAGAACAGCAACCATTCTTTTAATAATTTTTGACATTTATTTCTATTAAGATGATATATATTTATAAGTTTGTTAATTTTATTGTATAATCTTGAGCTAATAATATAATAATGTCTCCCTGCAAGTTTACTTCTGTGTTTTTCAATTTGGAGTATTATATCTACTCTCCTTTTATCACGATTATCAACATAAGTTAGGTTCTTGTGTTTGCGTAAAACAGTTTCATAAATAAACAGTTGACGATAATAAATAATAACAGAATAATTTTTAAATTTTGTAATCTGGCCTTTTATGGAACTACGTTTTAAGCTTAACTCCTTATATTTAATAATAGGTTTATCTGAATCAGTAGCCATGACTTCGAATATTAAAATTAAGTTAATTTACAATATTAAAAATTCGAAGAGTTATTAATTTATCTCACTTAGCTGCACTGGAGTAAATTAAATGCGCGACTCACCTCCCTTCGGCGATACTCCCAGCAAAGAAACCGGTGCTGCGTCGCTAATAGCTCGATGCACAAAACCAGCGTCCTGCCAGGCACCTGGAAATTTCAGCAGAAAGGATGACTAAAGGTGAAACAGTATGGTGCTCTAAGAGTGCAGCTATTTAAATAACTTAGAGTATGACTACGTATTGCACGCACATGAACACGTGGCACTATGATGAAAATGTATAATTATTATTTATTTATTGTATTTTTAAAAGGGATATATTTCGTAGTATCGTAATCGTTCTAGCTTAGATTAACTTTTAGTGTTTTATATAAATTTTGAAATAATTCAAAAAAAATGTTTTAAAATAATGAGAGAGTGATTTTGTTTATTATTAGTAATAAGAAGTTGAATAAGACTATGAACTTGAACTTAAATTCGTTTGACCTTGTGTCGATGTGTGTGTGTGTGTAATACCTACACGTAAACAATTATTAGAAAAAAATAATAATTTTTTAGCTTAGTTTAAATTCTTTACATTTTCATTTAATTGCAAAAATACTTTAACTTTTATAAGTTAAATAAAAACATTTAAAAGCGTTCCTCTTCAGTTTAATTATATAGAAAATTTACTTACAGAATAAAAATCTTTCACAATTATTTATATTTAAAGGGATGATGTGCAATCAGTTTAATGAGAAAAAAAGAACCGCAAATGTTAGACATTATGTGAATACCTCTAATACAATTTTACTTTTAATATAACGAAGTTTTGTATCTTCATACAAAGGTTTTGATCTCTATGGAGCAGCGTTATTACATTTTTATTATTTACTTTACTAGTCTGCTTTGTAAGTTCAAATATTTATATAAGTTACAATTTTTTTTATTCTTAGAAAATATACTTACTTACCTCCTACTCCTAAGAGCCGGAAATCGTACCTGATGCTATATAATATTTTTAAATGTACATATAACTAGTCTAAAAAGACATCCAAAATGAAGATTCCAAAATAAATGGTAATGGAGAAAATTTATGTTCTGCTTAGACGTTTCAAAACTCTTACCAATATTTCATTTTAATATTTTAGTTTTATTTAAAAAAACATACATACACCTTGAACGATTTGCGTATAATTTAAGTATAAAGGTTCTGGCCGGCCCCATAAACAGACCAGTAAAGAACTACATATATTAAAAAAACATGAAATAGTCACATACTCTTATCCTAGTACAAAGTTTTGTCACAGAAAAAATAATTATGATGTAATCTTATTAAATGTTAAACGTATCAATTATTGAAACATAACTTTTGATTGTGAAACTCAATAAAATATGAAATTAAAATAACCGTTACGATTTCCTAGTAACGTTTTCTTAATTTCTATATATGTAATAATAATGTCTTTATATGCACTACATTAAAACGAAAAAGGGTATTGTTTATTAATGAATATTAATGTTATAGATATTATAATAAAGTCTAATTTGAAACTGTATTTAGGTCTAACAAATAATTGATATCTATTTAGCGAACTTTAATAGAAAAGTTATAAAAAACGAAACTGGATAAACATAGGTGCCTTGAAATAATATGTAGTATGACGTGTATGATAAATGCTGTTATTATTAAAAGTATTCATAGAGTATATTTTAATATGTTTATACAAACAGTATTCCGGAAGTTTCGCTTAAAGTTGTTATATAGTGATATATCAAACGGGTCACGTCCACATATCGAGTAAGAAAACATTGTAAATACTAAAATTGAAATATGATTTTAACTAGATCGGCATTTTTGTATATCAAATTTAGGAATTAGAAGTCAAATACAAATCACGGAATAATATTCAAATTGTACTTACATGTATATATATATTTGCCTGAATTTTTTGTAAATCATAAAAACACATTCAAATGCACAACATAATACATATATTTTGCAGATTATCACAAAGAATAATAATTTGATGCAGTTTCTTGCTATAATAGTAGTAGAAAAATTGTTAATTAAAAGAATAACTCGTAGAACTCAAATATTTCGATTAAAACGGATAATTGTTTGAATATAATATTTCTAAAGTTTGCTTTTTAAATGAAGGTTTTTGTGGTTAACAACTCTAAAGAACAATTAAAACTTTGGTTTTCGGATGAAAGTGTCTTAATGAAAATAGTCAACGCAGTAAATTGTAGTATAACAAATCGACTAGTAGATCCGATAATGTTAATTTTATGAAAATACTAGAAGACCTGGCGAACTTCGTATCGCCCTATAATCAAGAAATATCTATTACGTTTTTTATTTATATTTTTGGAGTTTACCTGTAAGCCATAAATCTCCGTGTTTTGAAGTGCGACAGAATCATTGACATATTAGTTAGTTGTCAAATCTAATGTCAAAAAAAACGTTTGTATGGGAAATAGAAAAGGGCTGTTTTCCCAGTAATGAATCAATTTTTTCAGCTTTTATACCTTCCCTGAACCTCCACGAACATTTCAAGACTAAGATAAGATAAATCCGTTCAGTTGTTCTCGAGTTTTAGCGAGACTAAGGAACAGCAATCCATTTTTATATATATATAGACGATTATACTATAAGTCTACCTGTTCAGCATCGTTTCCTTCACCTTCTTCATCACTGGACACTTCCAGACCATTTTTATTTCCTTTATCTTTATCTTTATCTTCATCATCATTTTCTTTCTGCTCTTCCTGTAAAGCTTCTTTCATAGCGTCGATTTCAAACGGATTTTCAGTTTCAGTTTCTCCATCCTGAATGTGATATTTAGTTTATTATTATTTTATTAAACAATTATTATGAAGAGTTTCGTGAATAATATATGTTTACCTTATCGTCTTTTTCTTGGCCGTCGGAGTTTAAATCATTGGGCATTTCAACGTCTTCGGGCTCAGGTAGTTCTTTATGTTTTCCATGATAGGGATCAACCTTGAAAATAAATTATTTACTATATAGTTAACATCAACACTTAATAATAACTAACCTGATCATCGTCAACTTCGGGTTCCATTTCATTAATATCTTATTTTTCCTTTCCCTTCCTTCACTGCTCATCTTTTCCTAGTTCTTATTCTTTAGAACCCATTTCTGTCTCACCTTTGCCTCGTTCTTATTTTGTTCTTCGTCTATACCTTCTTCGTCTTCGGATCCCCATATTTGTTGATCGAGCCTTTTCATTAAAGAACAAAAAATAGGGAATATTAAAATAATTTTACACAAAATTACTTAATACTATACAGAGTGGTTAACTAGAGCTGTAACGTTCATACAAATGCAATTTAACTATACCGTGTTTTTAAAACAGCTTAAAGAATCTTACTTATACAATAATGAAAATAAAGGCATCCTTTTATTTTCCTAATATCTTTCTTAACATATGTATACATTGGACGTTCTAACTCTTGCTAACCGACTTTATGACAATTTAACAATATTAGTCAATTTCAAATAAATTGCTTCTGCTTTCAATTATACATGTGACTAAAAACATATTAAAAATATTCAACATTTAAGATCACATTTTACAATAATTATTGTAATGTGTGGCAAAAATAATGATGATATTCACTTACTTTAGGCAGCATTATCTGTATCTCCCATTTGTTTATCGGCATCGTCATCATCATTTTCTTCATCTGATTATTCTGGAATTTAAAAGGACATTTATTTAATTTACAACCCCATTTTATATGTTTAAAACTTAATTTTATATGACTATATTATCAGCCTTTCTGTTCAACGTCTTGTAAATGAGAATCAAAGTCGTCAGTCATATTGACTCCTCTTCTTCCTTCCAATCTTTATCTTGTTCGTTCTTTTCTTCATCCGGTTCTGAGTCTGAATCTAGTTCTGAGTGTTGGCAGAAACTGTAAGAAAATAAAGGAAGTTTCAATTTATTACTTGACTAAAACATTCTTAAACAATAACTTATTTAAGGATAATCGTAAGTACAATATGAATTAAAAAGCTTCAGTGGAACAACTTATTGAAATTATCTAATTTGTGGTAATTAATGAAAGTTTTTATAATATTTTATTATTTTTCTGTACTTTAGATATTTATAAAGTTTTATATTTAAATGCAACCCCAACTTATTCATTTTAACATTGTGGTATATTTTATCTAAATTGTATCGATATAATTACCCTTTCCATGCCAGATCCAAGAAAATCTTCAAAAGCACTAACAGTATTTTACATGATACTCTATGCACAGCAACTTTTTGGGATACAAAATATTGGACAAATAGTATAACTTGCTCCAATATCGGTAGCAATCTCATAAAAACCGTTTGCAATGACTACAGTATGTTCACTTTATTATTTATGAAGACATTTTTTCCGGATATAAGTCTAATTTTTAGAAATTATTTAAATGAAATAGAAATGACAATTCACATTTATATAAGAACCAATATAGAAACTGAAACAATTTTACGAGTATAAAATAAATATTCGTTATAGAATTTAAAAAAAGAATTACCTCCAAAGATCCTAAATGTTCACTTGTCTCTATAACCAATGTTACAAAGTCGTCCAAGGCCTGTAGTAGCGCGGGGTAGACCGTGTTAGCGATGCTGTCCTTACACAATGTTCGAGTTCAACAGACTTTGTTGAACAGACTCGGAATCTTTGCCAGGAGGCTGTTCCCTTGTATTAATTGACAAGGCTGTTCGAGCTGGTATTCGTATTTCTGTAAAAGGGAATTCAATTATTAAAACATTATTGCGTAATGCGTATGTTGCATATTTATAACTGTAACTAATATTTTTTTTTAAGACACAAAAAATGCAATTATTGTTGCTAGCTACCTTTACAGCTAAATAAAACAGAAGACAGGCGAAATCATTCATAACCACCAAATCTTTTATCATTATTATATTTTAAGTGTAATAAAAGTGACGTGTTTATATACCTTAATGTTTCTGTTCAGTACTACATGGTTCTGAAGATCTATCATATATGTTCCGCCCGCGGCGTTGCTTGCAGTGCCAGCCCTCTTTGGTCTATCCCAAATACCCGCGTGGTCGATAGACTCACTCGCCGTGTCCCCGAGACAACTCGATACACTGTCCTTTAGAACTTTCTGTAGACAATTTTTAAAGTAGGATATTTACTCAGACTTCACAAACACATCAATTACCTAAGATAATATAAGATGATAAAGTTCAAAATAAGTAATGCTTTATATTACAAACAATGACCTAGAAATCATCGAAGGAATTTATAAATAAAAAACATGGAGTCCCTCTGTACGGAAGAAGTGAAAATTCGTGTTGTTTCAATGAAAATAGGAAGGTATAAATATCAATTTATAGTGAACTCATATTGTTTCTTTAAGACAGACTTAATAAATATTGCTTACAATTCACAATTGATCCATTCATTTACTATCGCTGTCTCTTTCTATTCCCCCTCCCCAGGAGCGTTGAACGTTTAAGGCAACCGCGTTGGAAGTAGCATTAGACGCTTCACTACAATAAATATATCAATATGGCTGAACTCAAACTCCTTGGTGTGTTTGTGTAAAGCTTTATGAGCCTTGTCTACTGCGTCCTTCAGACTCCAGTAACTGAGGTCTCTGTCCCAGGAGCAGATTTTCTTTAATATGTGAAGCCACTTGTGGAGCAAATTGACGATAATAATTATATGTATTCCACAACAATGATAGGAGTTCAACTAAAACAGAACATATACAGGGTGACTGGTGAATTACTATCGATATTTGAGGACGTGATATTTGACGATCATATATGACAAAATAAAAATTAATATAACATAAATATTAATAAACTTCTAAGTAAAGTTAACCAAAAGTTATGTAATTAATTACGCATCGTGTGAACACCCTACAGATTAGGTATACACTGACACTCACACATACGCATGTCGTGACGTGGTGTTGTATCAACACGTCGCCGCACGCGTCCACACTTGAACACTTGGAACGTGTCAACATTTTACTTATTTATACGGAAATTTTGTCAAAAATTAAGTGCCTATTTTTTTTACATAATTCGAATGAGAATCATGTACCGAGTATGCTCCTTAAATATTGATAGTAATTCACCAGTCACCCTGTATAGATAGAAGTAAATTATTGGATATTGCAGAAGACCCACAGTAGTTGCAGTATAAGATATAGATTAATAAACTGAACCTAACTAAACTTTTAGGAAATAATTAAAGGCTTTGTTAGGGAAAAAGTTTTGATTTTTGACTTTAAAGAAATTGTGGTGATAAATGTATGTATGTCGTCCAAAAAATTTAAAAAGAGAATAAATTATCTATCTACGAAAAAGATATCAAGTGTAGTTATTTTTGTTGAGGTCTAATAGGTAAATAACTTACTATAAACTATTCACTATAACTATTATTTCTAAAGTTCTTTGTAACATATATTATTTAACCAATGAATCTCACCGCGTCTTTGACCGGCGTCCAGATGTATTAAATGGCAGTGATACTCATAAACAATGTCCGATCTCACATCGAACTCCCCTAGATAGTACTTTTCCATGAAATCTTTCAACACGGACACGACCCGCGCCGATGACATATCAGTCTCCTCCAAGTAAGATGGTATCGCCGCATACATATAGAACCAGTATTTATGAACTTCGGCCTGTTGTCTGAAATGTTAATTAAGTATTATCCAAAACAGTTAAACTTTTAATACCTACTAAAAATTATTGTTCAATAGAATAGTTTTATGACTATCTTATTCGTAAGTAGACCAAGTTGTAGTAAGAAAAAACATTATTATAGAGAAAGATTAATACTGGAATAATATTATATACTAAGATTTTTTTGTAATGAGATAAGTAGTTCTTACTTCATAAAATGCTAAAAGCCATTCGAATTTTGTGGCGTCTAAGTTAAGAAATAACATAAATCAATGACATAATTTTCACCTTTGATACAAGTTGTTAAGACACTCCTTATAATGAGTCATTTCCAGTTTCCTCCAGTTAATGATCTGTTGTCCTACATATATATCCAGCCAGTTATATATCAATCATATTGTTTCCTTTGTGGGCGTTTTTGTTCCATTCTTCAATTTTATCTCTAAAGAGTTCCAAACCTGTCAGGAATCTCGACACTGGACTGGTATTCTATCTACTATTATTATAATCTAGAAAGATAAAAGATATACTAATAAATCATATATCATATCTATATATTGGAGATTCTAATACCAACGATATAAACGGGAGTCAATGGGAATGTATGAATATGCGTTGGTCTGTCACGTTAAATGTATTGAACGGATTATGATGCTTTACAAAAATGTAGTTTGACTTCACATAACATTATTATCACTTCACTCGAAGTAGTTAACCAACACATAACACCCGTATATAGTGTAGAAGTTTAGTGACATAGACGATAGATGTCGCTGAAGCTTCCTTAATATATCTATTATATGACATAAACATTATGCAATTCGCTCTGAACTGAACTGAAGAGAACGCGGTATGAGTCACGAAAGGAAACTAGTATTACATAATTATACATACATCTTTCAAAGTCGGAAAGTCTGGCCATTGATCCAATAATTCATTTGTCGCTTCTTTGACTCTTTCTAGGAGAGGAAGACATTCCCTTGTTTCGGAAATACAAGGTGACCGGTAGAAGTCAACTTTTGATCCTGTTCCACCTGAAATATACGAAAAATTATAAGATTATTCAAAAATTTTCTATAACCATGTTTTAACCTCGTATCGAAGGATTATTAATTTAAAGTTTTCCATTTGAATTGAAATTTCGGACAGTTGTGTTGAAAAAATAGCAATAAAATTACAAAGAAACGACATAGCACATTTTGGATACTCACTAATTCCATGGACTTTGTATTTAGTATGCGACACTAACACCATTAAGCTTGGTAAAATAGTTCCTTCTAAAGTCACATCCAACGTCTCCCAAGCACCCTGTATAACCCGACTAAATGTTGGATAACGCAATAACAATGGGGTGACAACATCATTCACAGCCAACTTCTTTGGGGTGGATAACCATTGCGCGTTCGTTAGGTTCCGTACGAAGTTCGAATGCCATCTGTATATCAGGGAGACATCGTCAGGGGAAAACAATAGTTTGGGTTTCATAGTCCTCGGTTTGTCTTTCCTCTGTTCGAGAGTCGGTTGTTTAAACTCAGCGAAATCGGAGTCGGAG